AGCATGGTAATTCCTGACAATTGGGTCTGTTGGTTTTGAAGTCGATTTCTCATACATGAGGTCATGCACATTGACATGTAGAATCCCAACCCTAAAAAGAAGTGACATGAGTAAAGACTGTAATTTCTATTTTATCTCAATCATTGTGATGCTCTTTGGTATTGTGAACTGTTGTGGCAAGGAATCTACTCAGCATGCTGTATCGGTGATGTCATTGCATCAAAAAGACCTACAGGATGGATGTGATGGTGCTATGTTTGAAGGTAAGAAGCTTGGTTTCTCCAAGTTGTCAGGCACTTTAAGAAAATTAGAAACATCCAAGAGAGTAAGGGCCAAGCGCAAAAAGATCAATTTTTGTAGATTTTTAAAAATCACATTCAAATATATGTGTATTGAATGTACAGTCACACAAGTTCCTTTATGTGAAAGATGAGTGGTAATTGCCAAAAGTATACACTGTTGGCCCCAGGAATATGGCCACTGCTGCTAACCACAGATAAGACCAGATGCAGCGTGGGTGACTTTATGAAGGATGTAAGACATTAGAAGTGCACCATCTGAAATAAAGCTAAGGAGAACAATGTTCTATGCATGCCAAAAGTTTGGAATGAGGGAAAAAGCAATGGCACTTGTTCTGTCTATAGGTCAAAGGGAACAGGGAAAAAAATGACAATACAGATGTTCAGGAAAACCTGAAAAATGAGTTAAGGGTATAGGGGCCATTGCAGAAAATAACAGAAGTAAATATATATTGCATAGATGAACCAAGTTATTTATATATCACAAACTTTTTAAAGTGTTTTTTTTGTAATTTAGGATAATCTTGTAAATAAGAATCATAATTCTGAAAATAATGTTTCATAATAAGTACTTTTAATTCTTGAGTCATAATAAGTAGCTACCAATATGGGAATTACTTATCCATAAAGAAAATAACTTTTTTCTTCTAAATTCAACCTCAGGGAAAATATATTACCCTTGAATCATACAAATATGTCATTATTTTTATGAAAAGTTACATTAAAATAATTATGGATATTACATAATCATTACCATGATTTAGGATAAGGTGCATTGACTAGAAAAACAGCCAACTTGAAATTATGTAATCAGGTTATAGCAAATGCAGTCTCTAACAAACACTATATAAATCATAATATGAATTGAAGTTAAACCTAATTGGTTTCCCTGCATAAGGTTTAAATTTGTTGTCTCTATATTGTATCTAGCTTCTACAGCTTCTATTAGGAGGCAGCATGGTAGTAAACATCCTAGGGGCTCTTTCTGCTTTTAGATAAACCTGAGTTTTAGTTCTGATTCTGTCACATATTACCTTTTATCTTTGGTAATTTGCTGAATTTCTTTGTCTGTTTTGTTGATTTTGTTTCACTCATCTATTATATCAGGCCAATGGCCTCTACCTATGATTTGGCTTGAATATTAAAAGGTATTAGGTAGGCAAAATGCATAATACATAAAGACTAGATCCCTTTCCACTTTGCATCCTTTCTTCCTATTAAATTGGGCCTAACAGTCACAATTTTTTTTTTAATTAAGCCTAAAATTTTATACAAATGAGAGGTTTTGGGGTGTTTTTTTGGAAAATGTATTTTTGATAGGAAATAAGTTTCAACTAATGATTAAGGCTATTTCTATATTTTATAACATCAACTTACATTAATACATCTTATGGTCTTTTTTTCTTTATCCTCAGTTGTCATGTGCAGCCAGAGAAGGATGAGTAAAAAATACCTAGATTTCTAAAGTGCACATTCAAGTGTATCAAACCTAATGATTTTAGTTATTTCCTAGTGTCTGGGAATAGTGTGTGTGTGTGTGTGTGTGTGTGTGTGTGTGTGTGTGTGTGTAGATAAGGTGGTTGGAACTCTGTACTAACGAAGTGAAACTTATGTGTCATGTGAAGTTACACTGAGAAAACATCAAGTCTTCCAACATGAAGTATACCAGAGCCTGACTCCCTGCCTCTTAAATGTGTGCTGATTGGACCTAAAAAGGACCAGGAAAGATCATTATTATGTGGCAAAATGATAATGAATGTTCTAAGTTAATATTCTCTTTTCAATCTTTGAAAGATTCTGTTAAATCAATAAATATTTTAACAAGTTCAAGGGAGCAGGAAGAGTGCACAAGTAGAAAAACTTATTTTGCCCTGGGACAATTCTGCGTCCTGTATGTGAACTTACATTACTCTTTCCAGTATACTCTGATTTAAATTTTCAATATGTATGTATGGGAATTGCTATGTGTACGTATTTGTAACTTGCTGCATTGCCACTGCCCGACATGACTGTATACATCATATCGTGCACTCTGAATGCACAATTTCCCTCCTCTTCCTTTATTTAAACAATTTGATATAATCAGTGCCAGAAATGAAAGCATAATGAAGATGACCAAGGAGCAATAAAATAAATACGAATTGGTTTTTGACAAGAAATTTGTCAGTATGTGAATAAACCTTTTTTTGTGGAGAGAACTACTGGAATGCCCCCCACCAGCACGTCTCTACCAGCTGGTGATACAAAGGACTATAGCCTTAGACCTAAAACCCATGATCACTATTCTGCTATTTATTCTCCTTACCCCTGAGTCTAATATCTATATTCATTTACAAGTGTGTCTCCAGAGAATTCAAGACACTTTGGGAAATGTTAAAGATTGGAGAGTGACTAATTTACGATGTTGCATTGCTTATGATGAATCAGAGTTACATAGAAAAGCACTCATAATATGAAAATAGCTCATTCAAGACTCAAGATTGGATAAAATGAAGTAATAATAATAATAATAAAAACCCACAGCCTTATACTGCCACATTTCCCTGATTAATTTACTGATGGTATTGGCACATATTATTTGACTTAATATTTGAAAAATACAAATACCTCTTTTTTATGCAAACAGTGAACGTTCGATGAAATATGGAATTTTATATAGCTTCCTAAATATGAACTGCATGCTTAAACAGTGCATACATTTTACAAATTAAATCCTTCATGTAAGCTATCACCAAAGCTTGATATACAGATACAATCTTTTAGGGAATAAGAATAGCACCTGCCTCTACCGCAATTAATAAAACACACAGAAACCCCAGCAAACTCCTTCTGACATCTTGAGAGTGATATCACTTCAATAACCAAGCACTAAATGCTTGTTACTAATCATGGTCTTAACTTAAACTTCAGATCTGTAGATGAAAATATTTATACCTTTAGTCGTAAAGCACAGTTTCTTTCTTGTTTACAAGCGCTTTATAACTCGAAATGGTATTCATAGTTCTGAAGGTACAGAAAACTATCATGTGCCACTGTATTCAAGAGTGCTGCGGGTTCCCAGATGTTTTCACATCGCCATGAAAACGAGAAACTGCGAACTTAATCTGGGCCGCAGGATTGCAAGCTTCTTGCTATTGTTATACACGATCCCTGCCCTTCACAAGTGCATAGACCAGGTCACGCACAGCCTCCAGCCCTAGCAGCTGTTTTTTAACAGTCTCCTGGTTTAGTTAATAGTTACCAGGTAAGTTCAGAGGCAGCAGCAAGCCTAGTCAGTAGAGGGCAGAATTTTCAAGCGCCAACATCCCTATAATATGAGGCATTTTCAGCGGCTGAGTAAAAAGCCTATTTGTGATTTTTGGTTTTTGCTTTTACATTTTTGGGGAAGGGAGGAAATGAGAGTTTATTGGGCTCATGATAAGCACCCCTGCACTCCTAGTTTTCTCAAATGTATTACTCATAACAGTAACCTACTGATCACCACTGCGTGTTGGGAAAAATTACAACTTGGCTTATTTGTAAACCCATCTACCAGGATTTGGGTTGATTCTACTTGCTGTCTCAGTCTGAAAATAGCTCAGATGAGTTCTGGTTAAAATAAAATCCCTGGTTATTACTTTCTGGATTACTAACAAAAATCCTTTTTAGCCCTGCCCTGTGCAACTCGGTTGGGGCATCATCCCTGCTCCAAAGGTTGCAAGCTCTATATTCCATTCTCTCTCTCTCTCTCTCTCTCTAAAACCAATAAAAAATCTTTTTAAAAATCCCTTTTAAAACCAATGGACACAGTCCATTGCTTGAGGGTAATTTAGGCTTTTAACTTAGTTTACGTATTAGGTAAAAATTCTAAAAACTAATTTGAGGGTGCTATTCTCTACTACCAGGTACTAATGCCCCCCTCAAAGAAAGCATGTGCATGGGCTAATCAAATCTTACGGTTTAAAAAAGTTAGTTGTATTTTCAAATTAAGATCACCTCATTTCCACCACCCATGTTTTTACATTCTTATCTTTAAAATCCACATGTACAGTAGTATGCAAATATAACACACATCTTTTTTCTCCATGGATAGTTTTTAAGTAAAAAGAAAAAAAAATAGTATGGTGATAATGTTCTTTTTAAACTTATTTGTTTTTTGTTCTCCAGATACTGTGAGTGGAAATTCATTTGCCTTTAGTTCCATTTCATACTTTAATATCTTAAAAAATGAAATGTGGAGAGGGTATTCTTATAGGATTAAACATATTCCTTCTAACTACTTAAACCAGGGGTTTGGAATTCAGATCTCTATAGTCAAGACTGGAAGTCACTGGAAGATTTGGAAATTATTTTAATCACCACAACCAGAGTCATGTATGAAAATAAAACCCTTGCATGGATTCTTTATATGCATAATCTCAAAATATAACTTTTAAAAAGGAAACATTTAAAATCTGCCATTGAGGGAAATCTCATCTCCGTCATTCATTATGAAGTTTTATTTAAACTAAAATCCTTTCCAATATTTTGGAGGGGAAAAAAAAAAGTTCCCATAAGAAAGTCATAAACACTGGCCCGGCCAGTGTGGCTCAGTGGATGAGCGTCGTCCCATGCACCAAGAGGTCGCTGGTTCGATTCCTGGTCAGGGCATATGCCCGGGTTGCCTGCTCGATCCTCAGTAGGAGACAGCCAATCAATGTTTCTCTCTCATCTATGTTTCTATCTCTTTTCCCCTCTTCCTTCCTTTCTGTCTAAAAAATCAATACAAAAACATATTTTTTAAAAAGTCATAAACACTGAAATCAGAGGTGTGATTCTTGCTATATATTAGTTTCTCTTTCTGAGGGATTACTCCCTGGTCTCGTGCTTTTGACTTCAACATCACATTGTTTAGATGCGTTCAAGGGTTCAGATTCTCGGGACTCAGGCTTGTTATTCGTTTCCTCCTTTGCTTTTTCCAACTTCTTTTCCTTTGCAAGCAATCTATAGTTTATAGTATTACCAATGAGCAGCCACACACTTGCTAGGAACACAACAGCCCCGCAGGCTATATACATATATTTATACTCTCCAGTTTCATCCACCAATTTACCTAAGAGACAAAACAAACAAACAAACAAAAGACATATTTTAGGATAAAATAATAAAAGAGCCATAAATAATAAAATTTTCTAATAAATTCTTCCATAGACACAGTAGGTACCTATTTCTTATTTAAGTTAATATTAAATATTTAATGAAAAATTAGTTTATGACTTATACATATAAATAAAGGCATGTATGTGCACATGCAGCATTAATATTACTGGTATATTAAAATTATTGAGCATTATTACCCTCAATACAAATGTACAATTAAGACAAAGTAGGTATATATGCTTTGGGGTGCATATTCATAAGTACATACATGTTTAATATCTATTCATGTAGAAATAGATATGTTCATCTATCTATTTATTTACAGCAGACACATTGAGATTGCTTCACTCCTTCCCATGCTTCCTATCTTTTGAAAAAAGAGGGAAACATTACATTCTTTAGGAAAGACCCAAAGGCTTTTATAAAGTTCATAGAGGACATGATGTTTACTAAATGCTTTCTCTATGCCCAGCACTAGGCTAAACACTATTTGCAATATCTCACCGACTCCCACAGGAGCACTGGGAAGTAATCTGAGCATGGATACACAGCCAGGGAGGGGCAGACTCTGGGTCTGATCAAGGACTGTCTGAACCTCATATTCCTATGAGATTCTGTTCTTTAAAATGGCTTCACCAACTCTCATGGTTAAGAGGTATGTCACTTTTGTGGCTAATTACAGTTTTTACTTTATCTAAATCTAAATTATTAAGGCCAAAATAATCAGAGAAAATGTTGCCCGCCACACATGGCTCAGTGGTTGATCGTCAACCTATGAACCAGGAGGTCATGGTTTGATTCCCATTCGAGGCTTGATCCCCAGTAGGGGGTGCGCAGGAGGTGGCTGATCAATGATTCTCTTTCATCATTGATGTTTCTATCTCTCTCTCCCTCTCCCTTCCTCTCTGAAATCAATACAAAATGTTTTTTAAAAAAAGAAAGAAAATGTTTATTCCATTTGATTATTGAAAATATGAAAAAACTAGCTTGGTGCCATATAATCTGAAGGCTTTATTGACTTTTAAAAATATTTCAGTTCATAGATTTGCCTCTTGCTTTTTTTTTTTTTTTTGCAGGCACCCAATTCTTAACGATAATTATTACCAGCAAACCTGAGTGTACACAAATCCATGTTGTTTCTTATATGCTTATTCCAGGTGATTCTGATAAACACCTATTTGTTTAGTCAGAATCTCTATCATTCTAACTGAAACCTAGTCAGTAGCTCAGTGTTAAATTTAGTTACTTTTGAAATTAACTATTTAAACAAGGTTCCCTGTTTTAATTAGGTAAATGGTGGAATAGGCTCATTTGAATGCATATGACACATACATAAGCATAACAAAAACTGCATAATTTAATTTCCCATTCTGACTTTAAGTCAAATATTCTTTTTATACAATGATTGTCACACTTTAAAATACATAAACATCAGTTCTATGCCCCCATCAGAGTTCATATCACTGTAGGCTGCCGACTCAACCTACTTTCAAAATGTTTTGGGAGTTTTTTAATCATCATCAAGAAACCATATATGATTTCTAGAACTAAAGCTTCAGTTCTTTGTGAGTACAGCAGTGAAAGTCTTGGCTGACAAAAAAATAAAAATAAAAATCATGCTCTCCCTACCCTTTACTGCTTTACAAACAAGAGTAGTAGGAGCAGCAGCAACTGTGTGAGAAGTAACTACAAGACCCATTCATTCAAAAGTATTTACTGAGTGCCTACAATGTGCCAGACACCATTCTAGGAGATGCCAAATGCTGCAGAGAAGAAGCCCATCTCAAAGTCATGGAGTGTCTGTCAGGGGTGGCAGGAGGCAGAAACAGGATGAAAAAGGTGGAAGTATTATGGCTAGAGTGTGAGAGCTTCACGAAGGAGCCACAAGTCAGTTGCTGCCATAGCTATCACTGGTGCAATGGTTTGGCAATATTAAACAATAAGCATTTAAGGGTGCAGAAATAGATGTAAATATTCATAAAGGTTCTCAGCCCAAGGAGAAGTAGCCAAATCAGATTCCTTCATTTTCATCCTGAAAGCCCACCCACTACATCTGTTGACCTTTTTTTTTTTTTTAATCATCCCACCATGGCTACTGAAATACAATTTTCTCTGTTGATACTAAGAATTTTATTGCTAATGAATAGGCTTCTAAAACCCATTTGGTAAAACTGCTTCTGTATGAAAAGATAGGCCAATTATACTTGTCTTATAAAATAAAATCCATTGGCTGATAAATATACTGACTGGTTTTAACTGTTTTAAAAAATTGTTTTGGTGCCATGCTACATGCACACTGAGGGATATACCACCCAAAACAACTGTGCAATTTACTAGAGGACAAGCGTGGTGGACAGCAAGTACACAAATACACAGCTCATTCCTAACCAAGTGAAAAAGCAAAAAGTAAAAAGTCAAAGTGTCTTAAGTTATCAAATTAAAGATAAATTATCCCACTTTTGAAATGATTCCTTAATGTCATGTAAAAAAACTTTTGTAAACTGATTAAAATACTTTGAAAATTTTACATTTAGCCCGGCATTGACTGTGACCACCAGGGGGCAGGCTAGGAGTCTAAGTGAATACGTAAGTTTAGTATTAACCAAAATATATAGTGGTTACTGAAAAATTCTGGTCCACAAAAAGCATTTAATATTTATAACATTAATACGTTATAAACAAAAATTAAGCAAAGTCTAAACTTCAAAATGAACTTATACATGCGTCTTAGTGTCCTTACTAGGTTATTTACACAGACGCTTTTGTAAGCATATTAAAAATATTTTAGATTTTAAAATTAAAATATAGTCTTTATAATGTATAAATATGAATTATAAGTGTCTGATAAAAATGACTTTTATTGATATATATCTCCTATCAGTGGGTATTATAAAAGTATTCCTCCCTTAGGCATGTACTAGAAACAAGTTCCATTTTAATATAACCAATAAGAAAATAGATCCTGACTTTTTGAGAGAGCTATTTTAAATTTTTGACTAATTTTAATATAGATGGAAGAGAAATCTATCACCAATGATAAAATTTAAAAAGTGACTTTTTCATTAAACATTTTTAAAAACACAAAAACAACTGCTATGGGTAAAAAACCTAAACATTATGCAACTAATTACCAGTTTAACTTAAATTCTTAAGTTCATAGGTCCAGCGTTTGAAACAAATTTAGATCTAAATTCAACTAATTATGAAGTTCAAAAATACATAATGAACCCTAAAATTAACAGACCCTCAGTCCTTCAGGCTATTCGTCTTTTTTAAATGACAAAGCATGTGATATATTACAAAGAACATCTCAGTCAATAGCTATTGATTTGATGCTTTTTGCTTTCCTTGATGAGAAACCTTACCAGCCAGAGGAGGGCCAAGGAGAACCGGACAGCACTCCACAATGGTGACGAGCCCCACGGCGCTGGAAAATCTTTGAGCACCAACAAGGTCCATGAGACTTTCAAAGAGGATACTGCTAACACTCCCAAATCCAAGGCCAAAAAATATAGCATAAAACACCAGGCTTATGTAGTCCTCTGCCAATGGGCACAAGAGATGACACACTCCCGTGAACATAATTGCAAAACTGAAGAAGTACTGGATTCGAGGTCGAACAAGTTTGGTGTTTGCAATGAATCCTACTGCAGGCCTCGCAAACATGTCAACAAAAGCCATAACCGACAGCAGGAAGGCCGCCGAGTACTCATCAATCCCCTTGTCTTTAGCATATGGAGCCAAGAATATAACGGGGGCAAAAAACCCTAGAAACATAATGACATTTCCAGATAAGTATATCAAAAACCCCCTATGCTTGAAAAGGGAGAAATCTAAATAGTTATTCACTTTTTCCCAGGCTGATTGCTTCTTGTGGCTTTTTTTCGCGCCCGACTCAAGCTCTGTTTCGCCAATCTTATTTTGAGCCTTAGTACTTAGTTTGGATTCAACGGGTCTCATGAGAGCCCCCGCCACACAGGCATTCAACAATATGCCTCCCAAAATCATGAAGCTGCCTTTCCAGCCGAACATATTAAAAAGGAACTGATTGAAAGGAGCTAATGTACTTAAGAAAACAGGACTTCCTGCCATGGCCAGCCCATTCGCCATGGGTCGTTTCTTATAGAAGTATTTGCCAATGATTGTTAAGGCGGGTTGCAGGTTGAAGGCTAGACCTAAACCTGCAAAGAACAAAACAGAAGGAAGAAAAACACAAACACATTATGCCACTCACAAAAGAAATTACTCTTCAAAACTTACATTCAATTGGGTAAGGCAGGACTCAAAAGGCAATAGCAGGTGGGGATTTTTGTTAACCATCAACATCAAGAGAAGGGCACATAAAAAGTTTCTCACAACTGGACACTTGGCATGTATGATGGTTCCATATTCCTTACATTTTAAAGCACAAAAATAAAACCAAAAACTTTTACTGATGTTTCAAAAATCAGAGAATAGGTCGAAACTAGGACAAAATTATTAGTTCTTATAATTACAATCACTTAGTTCCACAGATTTTCATCTCCTTTCATATTTACATAAATATATATAGATATACATACATATATACAAACACACACACACACACACACACACACACACACACCCATATATATATATATATGATAGATTTATTTCCTTTTGGGAAAGACTGCATTTAAAACATGAATGGTTTCTTTTCAGTTGAACACACTAAAAATTTTGTCACTTATAAGCAATCTTAGGTCTCCCCAGAGATATTTCTTCAAAGCCATGCAAATAATAAAAAAAGAATAATAAATTCATGTCATTAGTTCCATGCTCTCCATCCTCACATTCCACATTTCATGAATATAGACGCATGTGCATGTTAACTAAAGAGCAAATAATTTTGGGGCTTGAAACATAGTCTTATTTCAGGGAGTAAAGGTTATTGTTTATATAAGTCACAAGTCCCTGCTGTCTAGGGAGCTTCCTGGCAGTGCTAAATATCGCCTTTGAAAATTTATTCTTTCTTATAGCTCGCCAAGGTACTATTTAGCAATAGTAATGAAAATGTTTGTTTAAAAAGTACACACAGTTGATTGATATAAACTACCTCCCTTTCACTCTTCACCTACATATTATTCCATATTATTTAGGAGTTATAGAAGTAAGAATTCCGCATTTACTAATCTATGTAATTGAGACAGTACTGCCAAGTAGTTAAGTATTTAGATTCTGGGACACTCAGTTCTGAGTACAAATACTTATTGCAAACAACTAATACAAATGTTTTCTATGAGGAGGAGGGTCCCTAAAAGCTGACTGGGAGGAACGAAGAGCATGCTTGGAGAGTAACAGGGCAGTATGTTTCCTGATTCTACCGCTGCCCTCTGCCGTACCTGCGAGATATGCAGAATAAGTGTAAAGAGACCCAACATACAAATAATAAAACTGACCAGGCTGTAGTCAGTGGCTTGAAAGTGGAAGAACCAAAATTAAAACTCAGCAATTATTTTCAAATGTATTTTTCTTTTTAACTTTTACGTACACACACACACACACACACACACACATAATGAGAGAGAGAGAGAGAAAGAGAGAGATGGATTTGTTATTCCTCTTATTTATGCATCCATTGGTTGATTCTTGCATGTGACCTGACTGGAGATTAAACCCACAACCTTGGCTCACAGGGAGGACACTCTAACCAACTGAGCTACCTGGCCAGGGCCCAAATTGTGTTTTGAAATTGTGTGCTAAGTTTCTTCATCCTATGCCATCTCCTCTCCCCCAGTCCCCATTCTGTCACCTGGAATTCTACTTTCAGATGGTAATCCAAGTTCTCCTTAAGAGAGAGTGGCCATCTATTTCCTATTCTGGCATGGCAAAACAAGCACGAGATTTGAAATAAAAAAATCTAAATCTGCCTCAACTACTTACCTATGTGTGCTACTTGGCAAAACATTTAGACTTCTTCAGCTCTAATTCCCTCAACAACAAAGATACGGTTGCCAAAATCAACTAAATTCTAGAACTGTAAGATATTATATAATGACATTGTGATGATTATTATTTGCTAATATTTATTTAAAAGTAATAAAATGCTGGGCACTCTGTACTCCATGTTAACTTTTTCATTTAATCATTCCAAGAACTCCCAAACAATAGGGCTATCATTTCCCCCATTTTAAAGACAAAGAGAATGGGGCATAAGGAGGTTAATTTACCCAGGATCACACAGCTAATGTGTGCTGTCAGGTTTCTAAAAAACTTGTCTGATTTCAGATACCAAAAAGTATTGGCTGACAATAACTTATGATAATTTTTTTATAGGTGTACTTAATGGTTGACTCTAGCAGCACCAAAGCCTCCAAGACCCAAAGGAATGGAACTGAAGTTAGAATAATATACAGGGTGGGGCAAAAGTAAGGTTTGCAATTATTTGTATTACAATAATTAATAAATAATAATACAAGAATAAACTGTTTCACACACTCACAACTGTAAACCTATTTTTGCCCCACCTTTATAATATTGTTGCTATTTGTGGTGCAGTAATACCCAGATCACCTTTTCCCTAATACATCTACTTGTAAACTTAGCCTTACTTCCATAGTCAAATATAATGCATAGCATTTCAGCACAAAGGAAAGGGCATTCTCTCCATTCTGGCAATTTTTGGATAGAATAAGATTCTCTCACTCACAAAAGATGTTTTACCATATCAAGAAAAGAGAGAGAGAGGTGTTGATAGGAAGTAAAGAGAAGGATTTAACATCACTATGTTGTAGGCTTTAATGCTTCAAATTTTTTTCACCACATGACACATAAGTGCAAGGTTAGACTGATCTAAAAATCACAATAAAAAGAGAAATATGTTTACCTTGTTATCTGTGGGCATAAGAAAAAGATTCTATTTTCCAAATGTACATATTCAGGTCAGTTTAAGTCCAGAGACATTTTTGCATAAGAAACAACTATAATCAAATGCTAGGATGTCATTTGAAAATATTTGTGTTTAGTGGCCAATGTGCCTTGTAGAGCTTTACACCAGAATCTTTTTAGGAAGGAAACAAAGGGGCACCAATACAGAGCTCCACCATAAACAGAATACAATAATTCTATTGTTAAAGCTAAGTCAGTGCATCCAGAAAATAACTCTTTGTCACCATTTTTAACCTATTATGTAAAATATCAGATATTGTACATACTAATAAGTAATGAAAAATACATTTTTTTAAATGAAGCTATTTATATGCCAGAAAGCTTCTGTCGGCCATCTTAACTGGCTGAAGAGTAAAGGGTAAATGATAAAAACAGACCAATGCTGTTTTGTTTTTGACATTTATATCATAGAGCATTATGTATCTGATGAATCATTTTCTCCCATTACCTGAAATAATTTTGATTGGACATTCCATAACTAGTATTTCAATGTATTAGATGAAAATAATTCAAGATCGTACCTGATATAAAATAAAATTCAAAGAAAACAATGAGAATGTTCTATTGTTCCTGTATTTTAGACAGTTTTGTGAACAACAGGAGTGTTAAAATAATAAGCTGAAAACAAAACTTACCTCCAATGAATCCCACAGTGACGTAGAGCTCTATTACGCTGGTGCTAAAAGAGGCTGCGACCAATCCCACACAGCACAGCAAACCTCCTAGCATCACCACTGGCCGGCTACCATATTTATTCACCAAAATACTGCTTATGGGACCTGAGTAGAGATGAGATTAAGAAATATTCAGTTGCTGGGTTCTTTATTTTTAACATTGTTAATTTTGAAAGCTGAGAATGCACATTTTAATGATCAAAGAAAAACAGTATTACACAGAGCATATAATGAAGATTTCAGTACATCCCAATCAGTTTGACTGATTATCTTTAATCATACATGTAAAAGCACATAAAATAACACATTAGAACTACATAATATATGGTTTACGATCATAGTCATTCAACTTTTGATGAAAAAGTTTTTTGACAAAATATAGCTAAATTGTCTAAATATCTTAGTAAATGCAGGAAAATTTATGTAAAAAAAATCTAGCCATTATATAAATGACATCTTAGAATTTTGTTACATAGAATACTGTACACACACACACACACACACACACACGCTCTTAGAGTTCAATTTTTAAATTAGAACCCATTATGCTTTTTCTTCAATATTGTTTCTTTGATTCTAAGACACCAGTTGTTTCCATATCTTATTGTATTAGAAATAAGGATGTCTTACACTTGATGATCTCTGAACAATTCCTGTTTATCAGGGTGCAGTCATAGGTAGTAATGTAGCTATCATGGCCCATGAATGCTTGAACTGTGCTAGTACATTATTTCTGTGACTTGGTTGGGCAATAGGAATAACTCACATTAACTCATACTTTAATCAAACCATTTAAGGACCATTTAAAACGGAATATGAAACCTTCATTGTTTTCTGAAAAATTTTCTGTTGACACATTCTGGTAGGGCCAAGAAAGTACCAGCCCAAACTTGCAGAATGGATGCAGTAGTATAGTTGGGATTACCAGAAAAAAATGGTGGACTTCTCCTTTAAAATATGCTCCCTCATGGACAAGGAGAATAGGGCCAAGAAAGTACCAGCCCAAACTTGCAGAATGTACACTGTAGTTTAGATGGGATTACCAGAAAAAAATGGTGGACTTCTTTAAAATATGCTCCCTCATGGAGAAGGAGAACAATCTCTTATGTTAAACATGAACATCAAGGATTTGGACTCAAAAACTAATTTAGGAGAGCCAAATACTACCTGGAAAGAAGGTTTTGAAATGCCTTGCTCAATTTTTTTAAATGTACATTTTCTGGATATATGTATATACTTGTGTGTGTATGCATAAAATATTCAAGAATGATTAAATTAATGTAAGTATGTCTTTAAAAGCTCTTTTGGTAATTATAAAATTAAAGTTATAAATACTAATAAAGTACTGCATCTTATTTTAGTGCACATCATTTTTTGTAATGGTATTTTATCAAATAATGGTACAACTGCCCTCGCCAGATATACCAAGGCTGTGGGTTTGATCTCTAGCGGGGCACATATGGGCATCAACCAATAAAATGCACGAATGGGTGGAACAACAAATCCCTCTAAAATCAATCAATAAATATTAAAAATAATATACAATTTAACAATTGAGGCTTAGAGTCAATGAAAATCCATACTAGTTTATAAAACTTGTCAATGTGTAAATGATTTGATTTGACATTCCATTTTTAACTTAAAATTATATTTCATCTGAAACTAGGGACACTACTTTTCTTAAAATAATTTAACTAACTCAATTTAATTCAACTTAACTCAAATTAGTTTAATACAGTATTTCTTGAGCCAGTTTTCACATGCCAAGGATGAGTTAATCCTCAATGCATTACAGTCCAGAGAAAGAAATAATCAAGAAGCTATTTTAAGAACTGTGGTGGATGCTTTGATAAAAATTAGACAATCAGAATAAATTCAAAGGCATTTACCAATTATTTGGATTAATAACAATGATCTCTTCTCAGTAGCACTGATATTATGTATACCATTTTCTATGTGGTGCCTAGATAATTAAAAAAATGAGTTAACTGATTTACTACATTTTATAATTGTGTTTGCCCCAAATGTGTAAACTTAAATTGGAACATAGGCTGTGAATCACAACTAAATTTGCAATGTATGTGAAATAATTATATCTAAATGTTGGGATAACTACATCAAAGCTTTTCCATCACTGTGATTAACTAAAGAAAGTCACTAAAGAAAACATTCAGAGGTGCTGGCATTTTTTTTTTTTTGAGGATATAGTTTCTATATTGGGATTAGTCAAAATGCAGTAAGAGTTATAATTTTAACAAATAATTTTATTTTAAGCTATATAGTTTAGTTAAATGATATCCTATATGGGACATATTTACATAAGTCATCTATAATCTTTTTCCTGGCCAAAACAAAAAACAAAAACACTTCATAAGTGATTATTTAGAAATAATCAAAACTCCATATGCCACTACTTCCTTGTCTTCTGAAAGCTACTTCTGTCAGCTACTTCTGTTTTTCCTGGTGTGGCTCCATAATACTTACAAAAAGGATACTTATTCTGCAAGGAAGTTTTTGTGGGTTCTTATAAATTACAGAGTTTGCCCACTCTTAGAACTCCTGTTGCACTTAGAGCCGGTAACAAACACACACAGACACACACACACAATTATTTACTCTCCATTTCATTTGTTTGAATCTTGTTCATACGTATAAAATGTTATAAAATATGTCTACTTTGTAACAGTTGTGGGTCAAAATTTAAATTATGATATAAAGTAAAATACACTCATTTTGTAAATATTTTTTTTTAAATATTTTTTGTTGACTTTTTACAGAGAGGAGGGGAGAGGGATAGAGAGTTAGAAACATCGATGAGAGAGAAACATCGATCAGCTGCCTCCTGCACACCCCCTACTGGGGATGTGCCTACAACCAAGGTACATGCCCTTGACTGGAATTGAACCCCAGACCCTTCACTCCACAAACCAACACTCTATCCACTGAGCCAAACCAGTTAGGGCTGTAAAGAATTGTTAATGCTTAATATTAGCTTGAGGAGGCATCTAACATTAGATGTTACATGATACCATCCATTATCTCTCTATCCTACAAACAGCTTAGTTTATTGTTACTAACAAGAAATATAAAATTAAAAACAAAAACGGATTCTCATCACATGTGATTTTTATTAAGCATGAGCTAGCTTCCCAGGTGTCCCCTTTTGATTAATCATAGGCCTAATTATAGACTGAGCTCATTCATTCATTCATTTATTAATTCAATCATTCTGGAAGTTTGTACTCAGCATGTATTTTCAAGTAATCATGATGTTTAATCATTATTTATGTCAAAAAAAGAAACCTCTGTACCTACTGATAGTTATATCTGAGTCCATATCTAAGTGCAGCAGTTATTGTTCATCAAAAATCTTTGTTCTATTTGCTCATCAAGCAGTTATAAAAAATGACATGCAAGAATAATAATGTCTTATTTGTAAAAAGTTCACAAAAGTATCAGACTATATCTAATTTCTTCTGATCCTGCTTTCCAATCGAAGAATTTTTAGTGTCAAGTATAATGGCCACATGCATGTTAACTATGAAGTTGTATAGGAGAGTTTCCTCAGAGAGCAGTGTAAGGATCTTAATACTGTCACCTGTATTCCCACTACTTCCTTGTCTTCTGAAAGCTACTTCTGTCAGCTGGTTCTGTTTTTCTTGGTGTGGCTCCATAATATTTACCAAAAGGATACTGATTCTGGTAAGGAAGTTTCTGTGGGTTCTTATAAATTACAGAGTTTGCCCACTCTTAGAACTCCAGTTGCACTTAGAGTTGGTAACAAACACACACACTCACACACACACACACACACACACACACACATTTACTTTTCATTTAATCTGTTTGAATCTTGTTCATACATTCTATTCTAAGCTTTGTGAAAGTAGTTGCCATATATACTATTATTCATCATGCCAAATATTCATCAATATTTATTGAGTTACTACTTTTTGTAGTTAGTGTGCTAATAATTGTGAATTATTAAATATGATTTTTGTGGCAATTTGATGATATAATTGCCTAATTAAAGTTATGTAACAGTTGATAAAACTGAGGTGTGCAAAGTGCTTAGATAACTTGTTCAAGATCACATCAGAATCAATGATAGAATGTGGATATGAGCCCAAAGGCATCTGATTATAAAACTGTGCTATTAACTACTGTGCAGAAAAGAGTCAACAACAGCAAGGCTAAGATACTATCCTTCAAAAGGCCTGATTTGTGCCCAACTGGTGTGGCTCAATGGTTGTGCATTGACCTATGAACCAGGAGATAACAGTTCAATTCCTGGTCAGGGCACATTCCTGGGTTACAGGCTTGATCCCCAGTAGGGGGCATGCAGGAGGCAGCCAATCAATGATTCTCTCTCATCATTGATGTTTCTATCTCT